TCTTTCTCTCTTTCTCTCTCTCTCTCGGCTTCTCTGTTTCCCCTCGCCCGGTGCGTCTCTCTTTTCCATCAGCTCTCTCTCTTCCTCTCTCTCTCTCTCTCTCTCTCTCTCTATTTCTTTCTTTCTCTCTATCTTTCTTTCTCTCTCTCTCTCTCTCTCTCTCTTGGCTTCTCCGTTTTCCTTCACCCGGTGCGCTCTCTTTTCCACCAGCTTTCTCTCTCTCTCTCTCTATCTATCTTTCTCTCTCTCTCTCTCTATCTATCTTTCTCTCTCTCTCTCTCTTTCTCGGCTTCTCTGTTTCCCCTCGCCCGTTGCGTCGCTATTTTCCATCAGCTCTCTCTCATTCTCTCTCGCTCTCTCTCTATTTCTTTCTCTCTCTCTCTCTCTCTCTCTCTATCTTTCTTTTTCCTCTCCCTCTTTCTCCCGGCTTCTCTATTCCCCCGTGCACCCGTCGGCTCGCCGAGGAACGAGCGAGAGCAACGCGCGCCGTCCAAGACGTGTCCGCGGCAGACCCGAGATCCGCGTGAACGCGCCCGTTCGAGCCCGAAGGATTTAAAGTCCCGGAGACAGACGGCTAGCAACGTGCCAGGCGAACAGGTAGTTCCCTTGTTTCGCCCCGGCGGCACACCGCCACCTGCGGAGCACCCGGAGTCCCCTCCGGACAGGTGCGCCTCGGAAGCGTCACGATTCGACGACGGCTGTCCTTCGAGCCCTCTGCAGCCTCTGCTCGGTTCGAAGGAAAATAACGTGGCTAAGGGAACCGTGGAAAATCGTGGAAAAGCGGGGAAACCGGGATCACAGCGAGCGATCGTCGTCGAAAGTTCGCGCCGGCTGGGAGCGAGAGGGGCGCGCGGGGCGCTTTATCCGCGCAGGTAAGACCGTCAACCTGCGGGCCGCGGATAAGGCGATTCGCCAGGCTGAATCCAGACGCGATAAGCCCGGTGGAAGGTAAATTGCGCGAACGCTCCGACCGCCGCCGCTTCGTCCATCGTTTCATTGAACTCTGTCGCGGCGTCGCGTTTCGCTTTCCACGATCTTTTTTACGGGCGCGCGGTGGGCTCGGGATCTCCTCGGAATTACGATAATCTGGCGGATGCTTGAAACGAATATGGAGATTTGAGAAATTTTTGGATTTTATTCGTTGGTTATTTTTCGGTGTGGAATGCGCTATTGTGGAAGCGGTGGAACGTAATGATTGCGGAAAGAAGAGGTTCGGTGTGGTTGGAGTTTAAACTTGAGTCATTGCTATTGGGTGCTTTAAGAGCGGAGTTTATTTATAGGTGTTCTAGTGAGCATATTTTTATAAGCTTGCGTCGTATTTGATTGAATAAATTAATGTGGTTCGTTCGTGTAGTAATGGACGAAGAGTTACGTGGTATTTAAATTGAAAATTAGAAATTTATATCGCGGTGTTTCGCAAATATCGTAATATTTAGTTGCAGGGAACTGTTTAGTTGTCTCGAGGAATAATGAAATTTTTGTAAATATTCCTGAGTTATGTTAGTTTATTTACAGGTGCTCTAGTGAGCATATTTTTATAAGCTTGCGATGTATTTAATTGACTAAATTAATGTGGCTCGTTCGTGTAGTAATGGACGAAGGGTTACGTGATATTTAAATTGAAAATATTTAACTACATTATATTATATATATATAATATATATTATTTATTTATTTTATTATATTTTATTATATTTTTATTTATTATATTATTTATTTTATTATATTTTATTATATTTTTATTTATTATATTATTTATTATTATATAATATAATATATATTATATATATATATATATATTTATTTAACTACAGTGAACTGTTTAGTTGTCTCGAAAAATAACGAAATTTTTGTAAATATTCCCGAGTTATGTTACATTAAAATAAATTGTAATAAAATATATATGATACACATACGTATACACGTATATGTATATATCATTATAAATATTCCATTGGTTACGTTCCCAACGCGACCCAGAAAAATATGTTTACGCGAGGTGCCAAGAATTTGTCTAACTGTATTACCGAGGCAGAGAAAGTTGCAACATTTTGGCACTTTTCGAGAAATTACGCTTTTACTGTCGCCGCGGCACCATCGCCGATGGTCCACGTTCCAACGTTACACGGCCTCGATCTTCCTGCACCGCGCAGCCGATGCAATATATTGTTGTTGAGCGAGACCGAAGCAGGAAATTAGTCTACATTGCCAGTTCGCGACAAATGCTATCTTTTCTGAAGGTATTATGGACCATCCGAGGATTTGACTTCGACTGGCGAAATTTAACATAACGAACTTCTGCAAAATTACAGTATAAATATTTACAATGGCAAATGTTGTAAGTTACAGGTTTATGAACATTATTGTATTGTACGATTATAATTTAATCAGTTATGTTAAAAGAGACGAATTTGATTATTTTTTTACCTTTTTATTATAGTATTATTTATTATATTATTATTACTATTACATAGTTTATAAATTTGTATTATTATTATTATTATTATTATTATTATATTATATTATATTATATTATAATATTATGATATTATATAATATTATATAATTATAATATTATTAATTATTATAAATTTTTATTATTAGTATTATAAATGTTATAAGTTATAAGTTCGTGAACAGTTTCATCTTATACGATTATAAGTTAATCAGTTATTTTTATTTATATATTTATTATATATTTATATATTTATTATATATTTATTATATATCATTATATTATATTATATTACCTTTTTACCATTATTATATATACATATTATTTTTACCTTTCTATTATCGTTCTCTATTACCCTACTTCAATCATCCGTCAATTTGCCAAAAGAAACAGAGCAACATAAATCGTGCCAGGTTTCCGCGGATCCGGCTGCCACCACGTGAGCCCGCGTTCCGTCACCGAGAGCCGCGAAATCGGGAAACTCGGTCGGTCGGTCCCGCGGAAAATTACAACGTTCGGTGTCTGCGGAACGCCTTGCGCCTACGATCTTCTCGATCTCCCATCGCGGCGGATCGGATGGCGCGCCGCCGACTGACCGGAGATCCGGAAAAGTTTGGCGGCAACGGCGGCGCGGGGATAAATCGAGCTCGAGGTCCAGTGACTCTCGCTAAAATTACGTGTCGCGTTGTAACAAGGTATTTCGGGAAGATCGCGGCGCGAGAACACCGATGATCCTCCGATCTGTCTCCCCCCCCCCTCCACTATTCGCGCGGGTACGGCTGCGAGCGAGAGAGAGAGAGAGAGAGAGAGAGAGTCAAAGAGAGAGAGTGAGTCAAAGAGAGGGAGAGAGAGTCAAAGAGAGGGAGAGAGAGAGAGAGTCAAAGAGAGAGAGAGAGAGAGTCAAAGAGAGGGAGAGAGAGAGAGTCAAAGAGAGAGAGGGAGAGTCAAAGAGAAAGAGAGAGAGAGAGTCAAAGAGAGAGAGAGAGAGAGAGAGAAAGTCAAAGAGAGAGAGAGAGAGTCAAAGAGAGAGAGAGAGTCAAAGAGAGAGAGAGAGAAAGTCAAACAGAGAGAGAGAAGGTCAAAGAGAGAGTGAGTCAAAGAGAGGGAGAGAGAGTCAAAGAGAGGGAGAGAGAGAGAGTCAAAGAGAGGAAGAGAGAGAGAGTCAAAGAGAGAGAGAAAGAGTCAAAGAGAGAGAGAGAGTCAAAGAGAGAGAGAAAGAGAGTCAAAGAGTGAGAGAGAAAGTCAAAAAGAGAGAGAGAGAGTCAAAGAGAGAGAGAGAAAGTCAAACAGAGAGAGAGAGAGTCAAAGAGAGAGAGAAAGAGAGAGAGAAACGCGTATAGATAGTAGAGAGAGAATGAAAGAAAGAGAGAAAGAGAGTGGGAGAGAGAGAGACCGACGGGAAATTATCAGTTTCGAGTCTGTTTTCAGGAACCGCTCGCGTTCGAACGGACACGAATCGTATCGGATCGAAACGAATCGAATCGAATCGGATCGGATCGGTTCGGTTCGGGGAGGCGCGGAGAACGGGACCCGCGTACGTGGCGCGAACACCGCGAGTAAAGTCGGTCTATAAATAATCGAGTGGAGTATTTCCAGGCCCCTTTTACGCAACGTGTCAACGATAAGGATAAGCGTGAACGTTGCCTTCCAACTTGTCGGCGCACGGTTCGCTGCATTCGTTACGCGAACTACTACGTCGCGCGTTTCGAAGCAATTTCTTCGGTCCCCCACGTTCGCGAGCGCCGATCGTTTGTTTTCGAGACGGTGGCCGGAGAGCGAGAGGGAACGAGATAGAAGGAGAGAGACAGAGAAAGAGACGCGTATAGATAGCAGAGAGAGAGAGAGAGAGCGAAAGAG